GGACACCCCCTCCTAGCGAACCTCTTCCCTCTCTCCAATATTCTATTCGCACGAGTCTTGCTGTCAGCCCCTGAGGGTAAAGAACGATAGGTAAGGCCCTCTCTCTCGGAATCAACCCCCTTGGATCCCAAATAGAAGGTATCCCCTGTTCTACCCGTACCGTCCTCAACTCGAGGTTATTGGTTTCTTCCCCACGTGTCGACCTACTGAACCGATTCTCCCAAGAGACCACCCGTCTTCTTTTATTAATTTTTACCCTCGTTCAATCCACACAACAGAAAGCAAAACCTTTACCCTCTTATTTTCACTTTTCCAAAAAAAAACATACCACAAGGATATTCCAAGGGCGATCTGACCTGAATTCCTGAAGTCGCAAGCGGGACCGGCGCGGACCTGCAAGAGGACGAACCCCTCACACCCAAAAGATCCCCAAACAACTAGAAATTTTTGCCTCGGAGTAGTCGTCTAGTGCTTCTTAGAATCGCCGAAGCCAATTGTTGCCGCTAGAAACCCGTAGCTCAAAGGAAAGCGAAACCCGAATGGCGCAGACCAAAGGTTGAAGCCAAAGGAAGTTAAACCACCAGTACTTGGGCGACGCCTTAGCGTTGACGCTACGGGAATTTCGCTACCGGCGGGCCGTCGATAAATCGTATCGACAGCCCGCGCCGCTTCAAAAAAGGTGCGGCCGGCGCGGCGCGCAGTGCCCAAGTACTGGTGGTTTAACAGAAGTCCTGGTAGCTGCCTCCAGCCGCTTCCTGACACGCTGTATGTGGCTGCTTGTCGCTATCTGTCACACTTGTCGCTGCTTGTCACACTTGTTGCTGCCTGTCATACTTGTCGCTGCCTGTCACACTTGTCACTGCCTGTCATACTTGTCGCTTCTTGTCACACTTGTCGCTGCTTGTCATACTGGTCACCGCCTGTCACACTTGTCGCTGCCTGTCACACTTGTCTGTCGCTGCCTCTCACACTTCCCCCCTTTGGTCCCTTGTCCCTTAGGCCAGCCGAAGCTGTTAGAGGAAGCCCATCCCCGACAACGGCGCCACTTATCCGCCAGGGAGGCTCCCTTTACGGCTTAATGCGGCCACTCGTCTTTAGCCGCTATCGAGACCGACCCTGCACACTCTTAACACGTTCCCCAACCGACCAGCGATGTTTCCTTCGCAGCTCAATCCCTTCCACCCGATCCCCGTTCGTTTCTCTCTTTTCGCTTGTTGCACCCCCAGATCCCAAGCCTAGCATGTGCTCTGTCACTAATGTCGCGACAACAAGTGACTCATCGAGTTTCCCCTCCCTCTTCTTCCGCCCTTTTTTGCAAGGGATAGCACAGACCGACAATAGTTATGTGAGATACAAGTTCAAGGCAAAACCCACGTTGCACAGATCTTGCCCCATAAGCACAAGTTCGAACAGTTCAAGTTACCCGCACTAACTGATTTTTCGACCTTCTCACGAGATGGACAGTGCTACCAGTAGGGCCCGGATTGCACAGAGAACCTTCGACTTTGTAGCCAAGCACGCCAATCCCAACAGGGCCCTTGCCAATCCCAGCAGGGCCCGAAGAGTCTGTTCCCATTGACTTCATGGATATAAGGATTAGGAGTAGGCATGGGAAAAGTCATGGTCGTAATATATCGATTTAGTAAGTATGCCGTTTTCGTACCTTTGCCAGGAGAGGCAAGAACTGAACTAGTCATAGAGAAATTCTTTGATTTCTTGGTAAGTGAGCATGGCATACCGCTGTCAGTAGTTAGTGATAGAGAAACAAGGTTTACCAGCCAAAACTGGCAAGATCTCATGAAAGTTTATGGTTCTAAGCTATTGATGTCGTCCGGTCATCATCCAAATACAAACAACCAGACAAAACAAATGAATAAGATCTTGCAGCAATTACTCTAAATGTATATTACACCAGATCAAGTGAATTGGGACGAGATGCTTCCCAATGTAGCTAGTGCCTACAACAACAGTGTACATCTAGCCACTTGCAAGACTCCTAACGAGCTGCATAAGTCCTTTAGACCACGTCAGTTGTTTGAAGGACTTGACCGAGACCAGATTCAGAGGTTACCGCCCGGTACAAGAGAGTTTGCTCTGCAGCACGAGAAGGAAGTGCAGAAGGTGATCGAAAACCCAGCATCGCATGATTGAACAAACGAATAAAACCTTAGAAAAGTCCAACATCGCATGATTGAATAAGCGAATAAGTGTCGCAGACCATCGCAATTCAGGGTAGGCGACTTAGTCTGGTCAAGTCAAAGGAATTCCCACCAGAATAAAACATTTCGCAGAAGCTCTTGCCCGCGTATAGAAGTCAAAGGTGGAGAGAATGGACCATCATATACGATGCATCGAAGTTGTTACCTTGTGTCACCAATCAGCAGTTTCCTTCGCGGAGATCAATGAGTCCGCCAGATATGGATGGCACCTATGACATAGACCGAATACTAGAAGAATATGTATTCCGAACTGGAGGTAGAGGCCGTCCCCAAAAGCAGTACAAAGTCCGGTTTGCTTACCAGGAACCTGAGAACAACAGATGGTTCACAAGGACCGAGCTTCCAGAAACCGCTTCCGACATAGTGCACGCTTACGAGAGAGCAAGAAAAGGCAAAGGTCCTGCCTTGGATTAAGGAGTTCTAGGAGGACCTCGAATTTAGGACGGTGGGAGTGAAAGGCTCTCACCCAGTTCGAGCAACATTTGCAGATACTTGGGTCGTGTGGACTTGATCCGTAGGTTAGATGTTTAGGAGTCCTAAGGGTCATCTGTAAGTCCTCTGAAAGGTCACTAGGTCGTGGCTAGAACAGTCCTCGAAGAGTCAACTTGACCTCTCGCAGACTGAAAGGGCAGTCCGTCGATCTCTGAAAGGTCAAGAGTCCCAAGTCAAACACTGACGGGGCAAACGAAATGGCAGTCCCAGTCCAGTCCGTTTTTGCAGCAAGTACCTGAGTGGGACTGCACGTTCAAGGGCCTGGGACCGGGCAGGCCAGACCACTAAACGAAACAGTATAAATAAAGAGGCAGTGGTCAGTCATTCACTCATTATCTGGGGAAGTACATGGAAGTGCTGCTCGAGTGCCTTGTGCATTGAGTTCGCCGGTGGTCAGCAGGAAACCCAAAGGTGGAAGAGGGCAAGCGGCCATAGCCGCTAGCGAGGAGGAAGACGACGGCGGCCATAGCCGCCAGTGTGACGTAGTTGCAATCAGACTCGCCTTCTTCTTCGTGCAGCATGCATGCAAGCAGATGGCAAACCACACTGGCGCTAAGCGCCCACACAAAGCTCAGAGATATTCAACGAGAACACAGTTCGGATACAAACTCACTTTGAATTGGGCCAATTGACTATGGCGCCTTGAGCGCCTACACACCTCACGTCCGCACTGTATCCACAACAACTGTTCACACGCACACGACACTGGATCTGCCTGGATATCCCACACTTCTCCCTCTGTACCACACACACACCTACACTAGAAACTAACTCTAGGCTATGGCGGCTATGGCCGTCATCTGACACTGACTACTAGCAGCAGTGACTGCTCTATCTCCCTCGTAGCCCACTTCAACTTCGGGCATCTGCAGACCACCTCGAACAAGACGCCTGGGCAGCGCTTCCGCATGGCCCACGCAGAACTGAATGAATGGCTGGACGCTGCCTCCTGATTTATACTTCTGTTGGTCGCTGGTCTGCCCCTTTTCCACCGAGCCCATGGTGCACACAGTCCCACATGGTACTTTCTGACTCGACAAAGTGAGACTGGGACTGGGTACCGCTGACTAAGCAAAGTTGGACTACCCACTTGCCCACTTGCCTCTGGTCTAACGTGAGCAATACTCGAAGGGCCACTTCCGGACCTTCCGGAAGTCTGTGGCCTTGGCCTTTACGGGCTGTAGCAGCTACGACCTTGACCTTTCCAGACTGTAGCGGCTACGACCTTGCAACAGCTATGACCTCTACACAGCTATGACCCCTACTCGACAGACCTACAGTTCAAGACCCAACAGCTACACAGACCTATGACAAACAACAGTCAGCTACCAAGACACAGGTCACGGGTTCAAAACACACAGGGGTCGACTTGATACTGTACACGGGTGAGGTAAGGTCTAAGGATCGAGCCCTGGGAACTGCATCTGTTACTGCAAAGGCAAAAACCGTTGCATAGTCAGTAGTTAGTGTGTGTGTTGTACATGTACATAGACATTCAGGGTAGATCCTAGTGCGTGTGTACGTGTGTGTGAGTGAGTGTGAGTGTGTGTAATGGTGAATACAGTGTTCGGGTGGGATCTTCAGACGCGCGCTCAGACGCCATAGCCACAAGATGTGACAAGTTGATTTGAGCTCAGTTCCTGGCCGAAGGCCATATCTCTGAGTTTTCTGTGTGGGTGCACTGTTCCATCTCACGCTTGTCGCTGATTCTACTTGGAGGAAGTTGTTTTGTCATTCAGCACCTACATGTATGCATGCTGGAAGTGAAACTGAGACAATTCTGATTGCATCCTTTTAAAGGGCGAAAAAAAAGAAAAAAGAAAAAACGGAACGGCTCATGAATGTACTGTTGCCTCACATCAAGACCTCCATATTACAGATCCCCCCTACCATGTCACGGGTCCATACTAGATGCTGCTGCTGAGAATGGGAGACTGCAGTGGAAGTCGGCTTCAGGACTCAGTTCGGTCCAGCATCAGACAAATTGGGGCAAAAAAAGGTTGGCAAGACAGAGTTGGGTGTCAGTTTTCTGATAATTGTGGGTCAGAAAATAGCTCAAGGGGGAAACGAAAGTTGAGGCAACTGAAAGAAAAACCCCTCCATATTCCATGAAAAGGACAAAGCGCTCATCTACGTACTGTTGCCTCAATACCTCCATATTACAGACCCCCCCTTCCATGCCAGGAGTCCAGCATCAGACAAATTGGGGTAAAAAAAGGTTGGCATGACAGAGTTGGGTGTCAGTTGTCTGATCATTGTGGGTCGGAAAATAGCTCAGAAAATACACACCTCTCCAGCCATGTCAATGCTCTGGACATCCTCCTTGCTGAGATCTTTCAGCGCCTCCTCCCTTCCAAATGCGACAATTCTCCCTATGGTTGACCATCTCTTTTTCAACCGCAAAATCTTCCCCTTCCCCGGTTCACAGTCACCACTGCTGGTATCGGCAGCCTTGGCATGCTCGTGGTCACAGTGCTCTGCGGCAGGATTATCCAAGTTCTTGCAGGTCAAGGCATGCTTGTCATTTGCTGCAACGTCCACAGAACCAGTGTGAGGGTCATCTGACTTCGATTGATTGTCTTCCTCACTCCTTAACTCACCATATGTATCCCCAATATACTCCTCGTATTCAGCAGGGTGCCCTTCTTCCGGTGACCAGTCCACGCCACCCCATATCGCTTCTCCTCCTTTTGGCAGCATAGAAGCAATTGAATCCCAGCTCCTCAACATCCTCATCAAGCGGGTAACGGTGTGCCTGCCAAATGGTGACATGCCAAGGAAAGGCTGTGCATATTGGCCACAAGAAGAAAAACAAGAACACAAACGATTTTCTGCACAAGCTTTAAGGTTAGGTTTTGTTTCTTTCTTTGAAAAACAGAAAACGGTGTGGTCATTGTGTCACTATTAACACCACCATTTCTTCTCCTACAGCAAAATGAAACACAATAGCTGCTGCAGACTGAACTAGCACTGTTTCTTGCTCTCTTGTACGTTGAAACATAGTAGCAGCCTTTTGCAAACCAGAACCCGCCGATAACAAGAGTTTTGCAACAGAGCAGATTTCTCAGAAAACTCAGGAAATAGATTCGAACAAGTACCACTCCTGTTACGGACTCAGCCAGGGCTCAATCCCTGGTCCGCTGCGTACCACCTGCCAGCCTGCTATTTTTTTTATTTTTTATTTTTCCTGCTCTTCGGTTTCTGACTGTTGGCGCCTCTGCAGCTGGCGCCCGTTTTCAAATCCCTCATTCGGCACTTTCGAATTTCGACACTTGGCGCCATCCGACATTCTGGCGCCCAGACTCAGACTTTCATATGATTTGTTGGCCAGGATCTTTTTTGTCTTTGTCTGCTGCATCATGCAGTCCCACTCTCAAATTTTCAGAACTATGTTAGAAGAAAACCCATAGAAACAGAGTAAGAGTTGTGTGTAAAACAACAAATTACTTACATCTGTTTTAGAAAAAGAAAACAGAAACGCATGACCCTGTTCTTTAACAACAGAAAATGAGTACCACATATGTTCGTTTTATCAAACCTGACATTGTCACCGTAAAAGGTTGGGGGCTGGTCTCACCACCACCAGTGATCGTGCAGTAATGACGTTCTGACCCACTTAGTGAGTGGGCAAGAGAACACGGGGATGTGGTCCCACGTACCCAGAATGTCCATTTTTTGCCCTTGGTCTTTCAAATGTGGGTAGACCGGACCCTCCACCAGTTGCAAAGAGTTCCCTGCACATGAAACAGATGGTCCATCTCCAGCGCTAGCATCAGGAAATATGACCGGAATGAATAATCAGAGCCCTTCAAGCGTCTGAAGAAATTTCCGATTACCTACCCAGTGTTGAAAGTTGCAGACCCATCTCTGCCTCTTGTCATAACCATCAATACACGACTGGTGCTGTACTCCAGCAAGACGATGGGAATGGGTACAGGCCATACTTGCGGCGCATGCCGTGCGCGGCGCCGCGGCACGTGCGGCGCATCGGCCAAAACAGGGGTCGGGGAAAGAAAAAAAAAAAGTTTGGGGGGGGTGGGAGGCCCGGAGGGGTACCGGGGGAAATTGCCTCCTTGGGCGCGAATTTTTTTTTTCGGGCGGCACGAAGGCCCGGTAAATTTTTTTGGGGGAGATCTGAGTAGTTCGTTTTCTCAGGCCTCCCCCACACCGCCGTTGGGTACCCCGGCACTTCACCGGCCCACCAGTTGTGCCTTGTATCCTTGGCGGCCGTCGTGTCGTCATTCGTCGTTTATTGCCCGCCCGTCACCAGCAGCACCAGCCCAAGCAAGAAACAGGAGGCAGCAGGAGGCAGCAGGAGGCAGCAGGAGGCAGCAGCAAGCAGCAGCACACAGCAGGAGGCAGCTGGAGCGAGGAGGAATCGCCGAGCCGCTTGAGGTGGGTTGCCACCAGCTCTCTCTCTCTCTCTCTCTCTCTTTGCTCTTCCCTTCTCGTCCTGTCTCTGGCCTTCGAACACTTCACCATCCAATTACCTTTTTTTTTTTTTTTTGCCCTTGTTATGTTAGCGACAGGGCCTTTCACTCCGCGTGGCACCTCCACCCCTCCCATCCTCCACGCATCGACTGACTCGACTCGCTGTCCCCTCTTTCCTCCTTCCATTTTCCCTCCTCCTTCCTCCCGTTCTCCCTCCTCCTATCTCCCTTCTTCCTCATCCATCTCTCCCTCCTCCTCCCTCTGTGGCATACTGCGTAGCCACACGGGCCCTGCAGGGCCCGTCCCGGACATTCAGCCTAAAAGCCTAAAACTTAGGGCTTACAGGCCCCGTTCGTTTCAGCCTGGATGCTGAAAAACGAGGGCCTGCAGGCCCTACCTCGTTTCAGCCTATTTCTGGGTCTTTTCAGACCCAGAGTTTTCAGCCTGAACCGGAGGGCCATTTTCAGGCCCTCATTGTTTCGACCTGCCCCTAAGACTCAGGCACGGAAACAGGGATGTGGAACAGGCCCAAAATAGCCTGTTCCTCACGTGCTCGAGCAGGAGCTGCAGCTGCAGCCCCTGCCTCCCTTCGGCAGGCTCAAGAGGCACACCCGTAGTACATAGGAGGGCCCCATGCACTTCACGGGTAGGTAGTGTCAGTAGGCGGAGGTAGTCTTCAGGATTCGGCCGCAGCACTCAGGAGGAGCGCTGCAGTAGTCTTCAGCGCTAGTAGTAGTAGCGCTAACTGTAGTCTTCGGCGCTGGGCGCCATAGCTGTAGCTGTAGTCTTCAGCGCTGGGCGCTGGTAGGTGGTAGATCGTAGAGGGAGAGAGACTGGCGGAGGCCAGTGTTACTTACCTGTGGCGCCATCGCTCCAGCTCCATCTTCATGGTACCTGCATCAAGGCGCCAACTTCACAGGTTAGTACTGGACACAGAGAGAGAGAGAGTTCTTCTTCTTCCTCTTCTAAGTCCACCTTCTCTTCTCACCCTCTCGCCACCTGACTTCTCAGACTACAACAGAGAGAGACAGAGTTGTGACTTGAGACTTGACGACATTGGATCCAGACTTTACATTTGGGATTCAGACAGTTCGACGAGGGACTATTTGGGCTTGTGCCGAAGACTTGGTGTTGACGACATTCCCATCTTCCCCCTCCTCTTCGTCTATCCCCTTCCTCTTCGTCTGTGTATGGTACGGGCTGGCKCTGTCTTCCTGTGTGAAGCGCCARGCCCATTCACACCATGTAACGATGATGATGAYGTATGTTCAGGGCTGCATTACAACATTGATTGTTCGGATCACTGGTATCTAAGTCTTCCGTTGTGCTATCTTATACTTTGTATTGAAAGGTCGGTTCTTGTTCTGGTTTGCACGTTACAGTATGCAACAGTTTGGTATCGGAGCGGACCTCTCATACAGAGGACCCGCTCAATCAAGNGACACTCGTTTCATGTCGGCGTTTTGGACTGCTCTCATGCAGGAGTCCGGCACAACAATGAAACCAAGTTCGGCTCGACACCCTCAGACAGACGGGCAGACGGAGCGGGCACATCAGACCGCTCAAATGATGCTTCGTACGCTTATCCGTCCGGACCAGAAAGATTGGGTTGACCGCCTCCCCGACATCGAGTTCGCCTACAACACTTCGGTGCATCCGGCGATCGGCGTGACTCCATTCGAGTTGCACCACGGTGGACAGAAAGGCTGGATCTTCGCCGACCTTCTCCTCCCTCAACCAGCCGACATTGACGCTGCCTGCTCTCCCTCTTCCGTCCAGAAGTACAGGGAATTGCTGACTCAAGCCCGTGCAAATATGCAAAAGGCTCAAGTCCGCATGCAGCAGCAAGCCAACAGGCGTCGCGTACCATGTCCCATCCGCGCCGGTGATCTGGTTTGGGTCTCCGCAGAAGAGTTTGCACTGGAACAGGATGTTTCACGCAAACTGCTTCCCAAGTGGTTTGGACCTTGGTCTGTGACAGCAGCCGCGGCCGATGAGCCCGATGGCCCTTCATTTGTGATCAACATTCCAGAGCATCTGACGGTCCATCCGGTCTTCCACGCCTCGAAGCTAGCAACTTACACGCCAGCCAAGAGCGACGACTTTCCGGACCGACGATCGCAGGACCCTCCTATGGATGGCCATCAGGAAGTTGACCGCGTCATCTCCGATCGCAAGTACGGCAGCAAGCCGCGGCAGTATAAAGTCACATTCAAAGCATGCGATCGCGACGACACTCGGTGAATATCAGGCGCAGTTTTGAAAGCATCCGCACCGCTGATCTACGCGCATTATGAAAAGCGCAGGTCAGCTCAGGAAGCTTCACGACCAGCCCCTCCCACCCAGACTGTGGTCCCTCCCTCTGACAGACACCTTCGCCCTCGCAGGTAAGCTCGATTCAAGGAGGGGGGGGTGTGGCATACTGCGTAGCCACACGGGCCCTGCAGGGCCCGTCCCGGACATTCAGCCTAAAAGCCTAAAACTTAGGGCTTACAGGCCCCGTTCGTTTCAGCCTGGATGCTGAAAAACGAGGGCCTGCAGGCCCTACCTCGTTTCAGCCTATTTYTGGGTCTTTTCAGACCYAGAGTTTTCAGCCTGAAMCGGAGGGYCATTTTCAGGCCCTCATTGTTTCGACCTGCCCCTAAGACTCAGGCACGGAAACAGGGATGCGGAACAGGCCCAAAATAGCCTGTTCCTCACGTGCTCGAGCAGGAGCTGCAGCTGCAGCCCCTGCCTCCCTTCGGCAGGCTCAAGAGGCACACCCGTAGTACATAGGAGGGCCCCATGCACTTCACGGGTAGGTAGTGTCAGTAGGCGGAGGTAGTCTTCAGGATTCGGCCGCAGCACTCAGGAGGAGCGCTGCAGTAGTCTTCAGCGCTAGTAGTAGTAGCGCTAACTGTAGTCTTCGGCGCTGGGCGCCATAGCTGTAGCTGTAGTCTTCAGCGCTGGGCGCTGGTAGGTGGTAGATCGTAGAGGGAGAGAGACTGGCGGAGGCCAGTGTTACTTACCTGTGGCGCCATCGCTCCAGCTCCATCTTCATGGTACCTGCATCAAGGCGCCAACTTCACAGGTTAGTACTGGACACAGAGAGAGAGAGAGTTCTTCTTCTTCCTCTTCTAAGTCCACCTTCTCTTCTCACCCTCTCGCCACCTGACTTCTCAGACTACAACAGAGAGAGACAGAGTTGTGACTTGAGACTTGACGACATTGGATCCAGACTTTACATTTGGGATTCAGACAGTTCGACGAGGGACTATTWGGGCTTGTGCCGAAGACTYGGTGTTGACGACATTCCCATCTTCCCCCTCCTSTTCGTCTATCCCCTTCCTCTTCGTCTGTGTATGGTACGGGCTGGCKCTGTCTTCCTGTGTGAAGCGCCARGCCCATTCACACCATGTAACGATGATGATGATGTATGTTCAGGGCTGCATTACAACATTGATTGTTCGGATCACTGGTATCTAAGTCTTCCGTTGTGCTGTCTTATACTTTGTATTGAAAGGTCGGTTCTTTTTCTGGTTTGCACGTTACAGTATGCAACACCCTCCCTCCTCCTCTCCCCTCTCTTGTCCTCTATCTGTACCTCTCTCCTTCCTCACTTTCTCCCTCCTCCACGCAGCACCTCGCTTCTCCCTCCTTTTTCCTCCTCCCTTTCTCCCTCCTCCTTCCTCCCTTCTTCTTCGCCCATCTCCTCCCTTTCTCCCTCCTCCGTTCTCCCTTCTTCTTCATCCATCTGTCCCCCCTCCTTCCTCCCTCTCTCTCCATCCATCTGTCCTTTGAACACTTCACCATCCAATCACCTTTTTTTTTTTTTTTGCCCTTGTTACATTAGCGACAAGGCCTTTCACTCCGCGCGACACCTCCATCCCATCGTGCACGTGTCAACTGACTCGACTCGCTGCCCCCTCTTTCCTCCTTTTCTCCCTCCTCCGCTTTGCCTTCTTCCTCGTCCATCTCTCCCTCCTCCTCCCTCCCTCCTCCTCTCCCCTCTTTCGTCATCTATCTCTACCTCTCTCCTTCCTCCCTCCTTTCTGCCTCCTCCTTCCTCCCTTTCTCCCTCCTCCACGCAGCACCTCACTTCTCCYGCCTCTTTCGTCCTCTCTTTCTCCCTCCACATGTCGACTCGCTACTCCCTCTTTACTCCTCCCTTTCTTTCTCCCTCCTCCTTCCTCCCTTCTTCTTCGTCCATCTCTCCCTCCTCCCTTTCTTCCTCCTCCTTCCTCCCTCTCCATCCATCTCTCCTTCTTCTAGTTGCCATCCGTTCCAAATTACAATCTCAATTTGGCATTTGCACTTTTTTTTCCCCTACTCCTTTCAGAATGTTGTTTCCACAATTCGATTTGCTCGTCGTTGCCCGCTGGAGTGTTGCATAGCCAAGGGGGATTAGAGGAGAGAGTGGTGGATCTGGACGAGGGGAGAGGGTTTTCCTTCGAGGGGCTGACCACCATTTCTGTTGTGGCCTCTCAGTGATGCAGGTGACAGCGGCCGCTGCTCTGCTAAAGCAGCTCATTGACGACATGAAGAGAGAGAGAGAGATGACAAGGAGGGAGGGCTAACCGCCATTTTTGTTTGTTTAAATTTCTAAGAATGTTTAAATTGAGAGAGAGAGAGAGAGAGAGAGAGAGAGAGAGAGAGAGAGAGAGAGAGAGAGAGAG